TCCGACCCTTAATCTATGAATCTATCTATGAATCTATGAGATAGAGAGTTTCCTGATTTTTACAGTTTCTAACCAACGCAAAGTCTGTTTCCAAACAGAGGCATTAGTATGGGAAAGCCAGAAGTGTCCTGTAGCGCCACATAGTTCATTCTCAAAGTAATTGCAGTCACTCAAAGCCTTTATTCTACTCTGTCCAGTTCAGCTATTGCTGCTAGTTTCCATTGGGTCAATGTTATGGTTTGTTAACATTTTGGACCATTTGTTTTACCATAGCCTGCTCATCTCTTCACCCCAGGCATTTATGGTTTTGTGGCATGGATCTGTATGAGTTATGGAGTTACGGGCCGTGTTGACACAAGACGCTGACTGTGCAGTTGTGACTGCACAGCCATTTAGTACTTGCACACACAAGTACTAAGTGACTGTACAGTAACCGGCATTATGTGCAGTAGTGTCCCCGAATGGCTTTTTGGTGATGCTGACTGCTCAGTAGCTTGTTACTACTGCACAGTAGTGTCGCATCTCGCTTCGTGCCACGCAACACTACTGCACAGTAGTAATGAGCCGCTGTGCAGTCAGCATCTTGTGTAGACGCGATCGTGATACCCTGGTCCTCTCAAGCACTGATGCCACTAGACTCAAGTATCATTGTTATTATTTGGAGGATGTAAGGTCTTCACCCCAAACTTGGTGCCAGGTGACTCTTTCCTCTCTAGATTATAGCAGGAGTGTGTCAAATCTTTTGTGGGCAAGATTATGTTATACATGGATCCAAAAATTAGGTGGAAAGCTACGTGTGGTCATCTAAGCTGGCCTCTGATTTGCACATTGTACAAAACTGGTGAAGTCAATTGGTTTTCGCAGGGTACTAGTCAAGGCAAGTGTTGGCCAAAGGGATTGTATGCTGTAGTCATAAGATCCATGCCACTATGCTCACAGATGCCAAATTTGGGGCTCAAATACTCACATGAAACTAATTGTGGCATTTGTGTTCTTGGCACCCTCACAGTGGAAATCTCATAAGAAGAGCTCCGTTCAACCAGTAAGGGACTTGAGGCTACACCACCTGATTCATACGACCAAGTGTACTTGGTTACACTGCTGGACTTTCAGATTTGGGTTGTCAGCAACAAGAGCCAATGAAATTAACCCAAATATCACTGACCAATCAATAAATTGGAGAAAGGTGGCATCCATTTGCAAGAAAATTTATTAAATAATTTTCTTTATTATTAGTGATTAGCAATAACACAACTGAAAAGGATAGCTTTTGTCATTGACTTCAATGGGACAGAATCAGGGCATATCTGGGTGGGTGCATCTACACATGCAATTAATGCACCGTAATAAACTCCGGCACATATTGCACGGGAGTTTATTACTTCAAGGTGCTGTGTTTGGACATGCTCCTGGGACTGCAGTACACTGAGCCGGGTTGGAGCAGTCTGGCTGGCAGGGGGCTCTGCAGGTCAGCCTCCCAGCCTGGGGCTGCTCCGACCCAGCTCAGCGTGCTGTGGAGGGGCTGGCTGGGGTACAAGGGCATGTCAGTATGGAGCTAGCCAGCAAGCATCCCTCACATTGAAGCACCCTCATGCCCTAACCAGCTCCATCACTGCCTATATGTGCATTGCTCTGGAGTAAAAAACTCCACCATAGGCTAGTGCTTGTATTTACAAGTGCTAACTTACGGCAGGGTTAATTAGTTTACTCTGTCCTGAAAGCACTGCACATGTAGATGCTGAGACATTTACTGCAGAGCTAATTAGGCAACTGCACAGTAAATGTCTCTTGCAGATGTGCCTGGTCAACATTAAGTTTAATAACAAAGACCCATATACTCTTTTGGTGTGTTAGAGGAAAGAGGAGACTGGAACCAGAGATTTCCTCCATCTGTCCACCAGCCCACCTCTTCATCTGTCTTTTTGGCAGCCGGCTGTTATCTATCTAACACGGAGAATAGGACCCTGCCTGGGTTCACCAAACCCTGTATCTGTTCTCCTCAGCTCCTTTCCCCCCATAAGGGTGGGATGTAAATGATTCTTCAAGCACGTTTCAAGCAGAAGACAGTGGTGCACAGTGCAAGCGTAGTGACAACTCATGCAGTTACTTATGGACACACCTAGCTCCAAGCATGTGAGCAATTACACCAACATCAGCACAGTCTGAAGGGGACACCTGGGAGGATGTTGGTGAGTCAAGTCCCTAACCTCAGTGGAGTATATGTGGATTATTTAATGGGAAAAAAATCAAAACCACTTACCAGTCTTGAACTCATCCAACAAGGGGAAGAGGCCAGAAAACTGCATGAGACAAAAAAAGGTACTTTGTAAGTATCTGAATACAAAGCCAATGAAAAAGCTTAGTTACAATGTGTTTCTAGTGAGCTTTATGTCCCCAGAACTTGTAATGGATGAAGCTGCAGGCTTTTCCAGCAGGCTTGCTTCCCATGTCGGCACCTGCACAAAACATGTGGCTCCTCATCTATCCTGAGGGCTCAATAACCCCCAGTTTTCAACAGCACTTGTTTACATGAGAATTGAGCTTTTCTGAAAATCCCAGCCCACGCACAGGCCCTGAACCCTTTTGGAAACCCAGTCTGAATGGTTCAAACTCTGTGTGTCTCCCTTTGAAGTGACCAAATCATTTGTTTAAGTAAATGTTTTTGGAACTGCAGTGGCACTCAGCCCTCTGGGACGAGTCCAGGTAAGCGCTCCCAAAACTTTACATGCTTCTCTGGGACTTGATCCAGCACCCTTTGAAGTCAGGGCAAAGATTCCTGTTAACTCAAATAGGCAAAGGCTCAGCTCCTTGAAGAGTAAGCAAATTCAAATCATCAGGATCCAAAGATCTGGCCGGGGGAGACTCACAACAATGCTAGGGCTCTGCAGAGGATTTCCAGGACTTCCTCAGTGGAAATCCCACCCCTTCCGACCTCTCCTGCACAGCCCCAGCCTTTCCTGTTTGGACATCAGTCAGGGCCTGGCTGTGGAAGTATCAGAGGAAAAAAGTGAGGCTAAGCCTTGCCAGCTCTGGCAGAGTTTGAGTTGTCAGCAAAGGTTTGTCTTTAAAACAGTCTCATTGAATCCTACCTGCTGCACACATCCCTAGCAATAAGACACTAAGAATGGACTACCTCGATGGTTCATGTTGTGTTACGATGTCCACACTTGTCCTGTAGGTACGATATTGTAGACACGATGAGAGCGCACATCAAGATGCATGGCTGCATTTCCTGCCTTACTACCACTGAGGGATGTAAACACACCCGAAGCAATTAGCTTGTGTATTCACACTAGCATTCATGGGTTGATTTGAGGTTTTTTTGCTTTGTTTTGTGGTTTTAAGCCTGGTTTACTGTATGTCATTGTGGAGATATATCAGCAAGGCTCAAGATACATCAACTGGGCTACTGTGGTTAACGCATGTCAAAATCTGTAGCCAATGGCACATAAGAGAGGGAGCTAACATCTCTCCTTTAATCCTCAACCTGATTGATTAAGTGTCCAATTACAGCTGGGTTGACAGCACAGCCTTTGGCCTGGGTCCAGAGCAGGGCTCAACCCTGCAGCTCTTAAGCTGCAATTGGGTAACACATACCCCGCACCCCCAATCTCATTATAAAATGATATACTATGAGGAGTACAAACAGTGCAAAACAAACACCCACTCCCCAGCACACAGGTGAATTTCTAGATTGCTTTATAGCATCTTACAGCTCTATGAGACACTGATGTTTAGAGAATTGCTCAAATGATACAGAAAACACCATGTGATGACTAGCTTAAATATACAAAATACTTCACTTTGGGCGTGTTTGTGTCCCTTTGTGTTTGTAGCAGAGGGAAGAGGGTCTACAGCTCTACACTTTTCACTGACTTCAATGAGAAATGAACAGACCTTAGGAAAGGTAAGAGAACAAAGGCCCCCGGTGCAGCTGCAATGAAATAAGCTGCTATATGAGCATGTTTCTAAACCCTGGGATGATGCACAGTCACCCAATTCCTTCAGATGGCTAACTATGATGACGACTGTCAACAACAATGCCGTAAGCACATGGCACCTGGTAGATATTCCCTGGGTTCAGGTACAGACGTTACCAAATTCCTTGCCATAGCCCCGTCATGAAGGGGACTGTATAAACAAGAAGGATAAGCCTTTCTGCAATGAGTTCAAAACTGGAGTGGAAGACGAGTCTACACCAGAAGCCAGAACTATTTTGTTTCTGGCAAAATACATGAAACAAGCCAGACTTGTTGGAATAGACAGTCTCTAAAAAGCAATGCAATCCTCTTTCCTCATTTGTTGCAGGTGTGTTGGTTTTTTGCCACATATTTTCTGTCCTTGCCTATTCCTATCATTCCCTGTCTATCTGGCACCTTGAATCAGGGGACCTGGTCAGCTTCGATGCCCTGATTCATCCAAACCCTCCTTCTTCTCCCCACCCCCCAAAAAACCCCAACAAACCAAACCTAAGCCAAGGCTTCCTTTTAAGCGTGTGTTTGGTTCCTTCATTATTTAGCAAAGCGTGGAAGCCCATACTTGGGGGTCTTCGGTGGGATTTCAGTCAATGCTTACAGACAAGCCTGGTGAAACCCTTTGCACTGCTCCACCCCTCCGCTTCTCTGCGTGAAGAATGGAAATGGTCTCACATTGAGTAAGGAAGGTTATTTATATCAAGAGAAAGCCATGGCACCTAGCACAGAGCCTTTTGTTTCTAGGTCTCCACAAGTGCTGGCCATCAAACCCATCCTCTCCCTTGAACATATCTTATACCAGAGGTATATATAACAAGCAGTCTTTGTGCCCTGGGCAGTGGCCAGGACAGCGGCAGCGGCTGGGGTGGTAGCGTCAGCGGCAGGCAACCTTATACCCCTCTGGGGGTAGTGCACCACTCTTCTACCCCCTACTTAGCCTACTGACTTAAACAAAGCAGAAAAGCAGGCAGTGGAGGGGAATACTTGGTGTACGTAAGACTCCTCTCCACCTAATTCCCCTCTGCAAGGGCATCATACTCCACTACATCGTGGGTGATCCGAGTAAGTCCATAACTTCTTCAGGGAATAGCTGCTCTGTTACAGTCTTGAGCATGTCGGTCAATGGGGCCCAATCCTGAAGGGAGGCCTTTCCCTGTGCTGCAATGCAGCTACGAACTTAACTTTCAGAGAGCTGCAGGAATGTTATCCTCTGCTTTCTAAGGAAAAGTCTGAATCGAAGCATTAAGTATTATTTTTATACTAAAGCGCACAGGCTGCATTCTCCTTTGAGTTACCCCAGTGCAACCCTAATGACTTGGCTGCACTAACGCAACGGAGGGAAGAGCTTGCCTCTCAAATCTGCAGTGCTTCTCCTCCATTTATTCATTACATCTGATCATACACCAAACTGCACTGGCTTGAAGGCATGTTACAAGCCCCAAACCAGATTTTTTGCCTGTACAAAATCTTCTGCAGAGCTTTGCTTCGGAGGGCACAGAAAAAACTCAACTCCTTTCCCCCCCGCCATGGTCTTGATCTTGCCCTTTCATCAGTGCCTCGAGTTGCTGTGTGATGTGCAAAACAACAGGAGAGCCAAGTTTTTAAGATTCCCGGCAACGTGTAGTGGAAAGGACTGAACTTTTCAGTTTTAGGTGTTTAAACCTCGTGGGTTGCTATACATTTTATGGCCAGCAGAGGGGACACTTGCCCTTTAATCAAATTCTAATAAAACAAGTCAGAAGCAGGATTCAAACAAAAGAAGGAAAAAAAATAGATTCTGGGGTTTGTTTCACCAAACATTATCGTTTCTGCAGCTCAACACTGATACTCTGTGTTCTCAAGAGGCAAAAAAAAAAAGAAAAAAAAAGTGCTGAATATGTGAATCTTGTTCTTACCGAGTCAATAGAGACTGAGGATGAAGCTAAAAAATTTCAGAGAGACCTCATTTTAAATTTTATTACTTCAGTCTCATAAAAATAAAAAAGCCCTACAAAAAACTGGGAAGAGGCATTTTATCTTGTTAGAGGTATATTGCTGAGTATGGAGTCACTTCTATCTTGACTTGCTAGAGAGAGGATTGGGGGGGAAAAAATGGCTGAAATGCAAAAATTTAGACAGGCCTTCATAATAGGAGTAATAATTGTTAGGATTTTTTCCCAGGCTTCAGTTTCTCCAAAGGACTGATACACATTAGCTAATTAATTCGATTTGGAACAAAAAGGTTAGACGCTGCAGCTGAAGGATACGTCTTCTGTTTTCATTTTAGGCCTTTTTTTGGATACGTTCTAACCTCCGGAAAATGGAGGATTCGGCTCATGCAATACAGCAGGATTCAGCAGTCATGCCCAGACTCTGAGTTTTGTGTACCCATGACAAACCGGTCAACCTTTTCTCAGACAAAGGGTGGATTTAAAACTTTATGTCCGATTTATGGAATCGATTCTGAGCTCACAGGAAATTCCTCGGTGCTCCTGAGAGCATTATGCAGTGGGCGATGCCAATTATGGCGTAGGGAAAGGCTTGTTCATTACTAGGATTAAAGTTGAGAAATAATTGGAAGAGAAAAAGAAACCGAGAAACAGGCATTATAAAGGAGACAGCCAATGGTCCAGTTCTGCTCTTACCAGGGTAAGAATCGGGAGTCCTTCCGGAGACGTCAGCGGACCTGTTCCAGGATCAATTTAGCATACGAGGCATTGGACCCGAGCCTCGAGTCCAAACTCCTCCCAACCTTGTGTTGGGTAATGTAGCCCCATTGGAGCTCAGAGCGAGCCTCACCCTGTTGGCAATTGGGCTGCCAAGCTGGTAGCGTGGCCCCATCACAACTGAAGGTCTGCTGCTTGCAATGAGAGCCAAACCTTTGTCACTGGGGCTCGTTTTCAAAGCAAACTGTTTTCACGGTGGGGGGGGGGAGCATGAATAATGCTGATTCACAGAGGAGGGTTTCTGTTGGCCAAAAGACTCATCATGACATTGGGGGTGGGGGGAACCAAGAGTTTGGAGACGGCCACAAAAATAAAGGGGAAGAAATGGTTGCGCAGGAAAGACACTGTTCTGGTACCCGAGGCTGGAATTAGGCAATGGGGCTCACCGATCTATTTGCTTAGCTGAGATATCTCCCGAAGTATCTCAGTGCCGTTAGGACAGATTGAAGCCTTGCTCCTGCCTGGAGGACTGAGGGGAATAAGGTGGCTGTGTGGGGCGCTGTAAGGCAAAGGTCTCTTAAGTGTTTTGCGTATTTAAGGGTAAAATGACTCAAAGGGTGCTGGTTTTAGGGAGTACCAAGCCCCTTACGCAGGAGTAGCTCATCCTCACAGGTGTATATG